AGATGATCGAGGTAAAGATCTCGAAAGAAATTACGAAAGGCTGGAGATGATGATGACAAAGACAAGAAACGTAGGAGAAAATCTCAAGAAGTGGACGACGATCAAGATCAAGATCCTCGTCGAGAACGTCATCGGCGTCATCAGAAGAAACACCGTCATGAAGTTGATGTAGATGTAGAAATAGCTGAAGATGAGGACGAGGAAGAGGGTGCAGACCAACGGAAGGAACGGCGGCGGCACAAGAAGAAGCGTAGGAAAGATGACTCTGAGAAACGGGAAAAGAAGCGCCGTAAACATAAACACCACCGAAGGAAACGATCTCCATCAGAGTCCCCGGAATTATCACCATCTGGTGGAGGTAAGAGTAACCGTGGTGATGATGAAACTACAACAAAGCATAAGCACTACCGTTCAAGAAAGTCGTCGGAGAAATCACTTTCAGTGGATGCAGACAAGGGTACAGTGGAATCTGATGAAGGGGTCGCGAGAAAGAAGTCTTCGAGTAGACACAAGAAGAAACGAAAAGAACTCTCCAAGTCGCCTTCAGAGAGCTTCAGCTCCAGCGAATAAGGGACTGTATGTTAGTGAGCCATTTTTGTGTTAGCAGATCTTAGTATATGAATCACTAGTCAGAGCTATTAAAGTAGATTGCTGGTAGGTTTGGATACACTGCTTTATTTCGTGTGTCTGTATAAACTTGATCGAAGACGCTGGTGGAATAAATGTGGCCCATGCAGGCGAACTTTGAAGTTGACAAGGAAATGGAGCGGTGTTCAAGACTTCAGTTGGTGAAGGCACTTCAGTACGTGATCCTCTGGGTGGGGCTGGGGGGAATGGTTAAAGTTGGTTGGTCATTTGTCCTCTCTTGACGTGCTTGTATGCAGTATGGACGGACATGGCAATGAAGCAGGCCGCCTTTGTAACTGTCTTTTGGCTCCACGACGGCATTTTCTATCGACGTACCCTGGCTCGTATCAACCATTGTAGGTAGCTCTGGACTGGCCAATTCACCTTACGCAGAGGTTATGGTTCTGTTGACACTATGTACTCTTTTCATCATTTCCAAGAAATCATCTTGGTTTTCAAAAGTGCCTGTGGTAACTGTGGTATCTGAGCGTGTTGTGCACACAATATGCAGAAGTCAGTTTGACTTAAATGCTGCAGACGTTGGTTCTTAGCTTTCTTTCTTTCTTTCTTTCTAGCTCTATCTCTTCTTCCTTATTTATCGTTTATTTTTAATGATAGCCCTTCAACCTCCCTTTCCCTCCTTGAGCAAAATCGTCAGTCTTCAGGAGAGATTGTAGTGGTGACTGTGAGGTACGCCAGCTAGGTAGCACTGTTGTTAAGTGTTCTGAAAAGCAAGTGCATTGTCAAGCACTTGCTTTTTCTAGGGGCTAGTCCTTGACAGGATGTGAACGCTTGTGGGCTTTTGGGGTTTGGCTGGGAGGTACTTGGGCACGGGCTCGGTTTGTCCGTCTTTATCGCAGCTGAGCACACCATATCTTAGGTGAAGCCTGTAAGTTTTTTGAATTTTTTTGCGCAGGTCCAGCATTGACTGTGAATATTGTATCTGTATGTTAGTGTGCTGCCATATTCTTAGATGAGTTTTTAAGATGTCTCTGAGGCTATTGCACCCTGTTATGCATTGCTTTTCCTTTGTAGTTATAGTATGTACCGCATGGTTTGAGATCCGCTTCAATCCTGGGAAAATGGTGGGAGGGCTGGGTTGGGATGGTGGGTTGGGAGGAGTGCATGCGCATGCTTTCAGGACTAAAAATGCTGCAGCAGTGGCACGTGTCTCACAAGCTCTGCTTTAGGTAAGTGTTCAGCAACATAGCCACTCGATTTGCACGTGCCTTTCTAGCCTTTTCAGCGTGAAACCGAGACTTTTGGCCTCCATCCACACTGGATATCTGCATATTTCCTTCTGCGCCTGCTCTCTCTCTCTCTCTCTCTCTCTCTCTCTCTTACCTTCTTTTATACTTTCTTTTGCGTCTTGCAGCTTTTCTTCACTCAGCTACAAATCTTGTTTCTGCAAAGGTAAGGATTGGCTGATAGGTATGGAAAATGGTTAGGGGACCCTGTCTTTCCTTGCAGGAGAATGCCAACGTGGAGTTGAAGATCTTTTCCCAGGTTCTGCAGGATCTCGTTGTTTTCCATTTTATTACTCGTACCTGGAAATCTCTAACCCTCTAGTTTAATTACCTCCGTGTCGATTCTAAATGGTGTTCAGAATCTGAGTTTCTAGAACACGACCTAGTTAACAGGTTGATTATTACCGTAACAATTGTGGCACGACTGCATAAAATAGTGTAGTGCCACATATCAGTAGAGGTGGTAAGTCGGAAGTCGTAAGCAAGTGCTTCAGGTCATTTGCCTCAGTTATGTAGAATTTGTTGCCTTACATGGTCGACATCTTTCACAGCAAGTGCTGCACACTCGCTTCGTTATGAAGATCTGTACGACTTTGATTTATAGTACATTAATCAAATAGCATTGGTAATTTCGTCTTATTGGGTTTGGAGCACTGGTATTGACAAGATATTGAGTTTTCTTGCAATATTTTAGTGAGTTCAATGAGGTATTGTCCAGAGCTTTTAGTAAATTTTAGTACCTTAGCACATGTAATATTCTTCTCTGTTTCTGTTCATGATAGGTCTTGTATACAAATGCATGCTGCGCACGATTCTGATTCACATCACGAGGTTCCCGAAATACTACGAAACAGTGAAAATTTCACGTTCGAGCCACATTCATTCCCATGTATGAACCCTGCTTCCTCTCTCAGCATCCGCTTTGCTGGCGAACGACCACCTGCTTCCAAACGCTCTGATTGTTACGTATTCTCAGCAACTTATGATGGTTATCCGAATGGCGCTTTTCTTACAACGATCACCACAAAGGAACATCCACATTAGATTTCCACGGCATCAAAGTGGTTCTCATTATGGCCTGATTCTCAGTTGCAGCAGAAGTAGTATTAATTTAGCGACACCTCAGCTTCTGCACGAATACCCATCTGATATGTGGTGCAATAAAGGGGGACCAGATGATGCGTACAAAAAATTACTTTCTGCTGGCAGCCGAAGAACATTCTCTCGCCACAGTGATTTTGGGGATCATCATTTTTTTTTGCTCCAAAACCTATCACAAGCTTGCACAGTATTTAGATTACTGTCGTATGTAATATGACTTGAGGGTAACTAGAGGTTTGTTAGGGGGAAGATTCTTATTGTACCCTAGATGGTCGGAAGTGGGGGGGGGGGGGGGGGGATGTGGGCCAAGCAGAAAGAATGTGATGGGTGCTCCCTTTCGACCTTATCGGCGGTTTCCGTCTCTATCTGTTGGTGTTATTCCTCTTTGCCCTTGTTTTTGGACTTTTGAAATTCGTGCCTTCATGCAAGTTGAGGTAGTACTGCAGTGCCGGTGCGATTTTTTGGGATTGTTTAGATCGTTCAAGGTGAAGAAGGTGAGCAAGAGATTTGTAAGCGATTATCGTTGTTTCCTCGAGAAGTTCAATATGAGGAACTTGAGTGGTCGCCAGGAGCTTACGAAGAGTGTAAGAATCTTTGAAGACCCATTAGATCCGGTGATCTTGAGATGAGCCTGGCCTTGCGGGGTGTTTGTTTGCGCTGTAGTAGATATGGACATTAGTTCGATTAGGAGGTGACTGACTTGAGATTGGCTTAAAATTCTTGATTTTGGAACAACGAGTGTGAGCTGCTTGTTCTTTCGGTGCATCACTGGATTGACGATTGAGCTGTGGCTGGCAGTGAAGGGAGGTGATCGAAGTTTATATATCATAAGCCTGCGTCAGGACTTAGTACTTTTCTCACGGGGAAAAACCCTGGAACTCACGCATCTTCTATCGCTATCATGGAGAACTCTATGGATTTCAACAGATTGTGTCCTTAGGAACAAGCAGGAAGAAAATCCCGTGTGAGCTCCTATAGTTTTCATATTATTTGGAAAGGAAGCTGTCGGCATTTTAGGCTTTCACAGCTTCAAAATTTTAAACGATTTCCCGCATAGCACCTTCTAAATATTGATTAGAGACAATCCGGAGCCTTCGATTGCAGAGGTTTCTGCAGGGTTTATCGACAAGTTTTTTTCTAGAGGTTCCTTGAGCGAGTACCCGATGACTGTTAAAGCGGACATTTCAATCCAGGATGGCCATTTGCTGGTCTATGGAGAACCTTTACTCAGGAACATCCCATCCAACGTGCACTTCATCGGTGATCCTAATCTACACGGGGGCTTCCTGGGAGCCTCATTTCCAGAGAGCAACAGCTTTCACGTGGTTCCACTCGGTGTTCTCCAGTACGCCTCCTGACATTTAATTTTCCTACTCTTATCTGGTGACTCTTGGTAATTAACTTTCGTTACTTTAGTTCAGAATCTGTATTAAATTGAACGTTCTTGCAGGAATATCCGTTTCTTGTGTTGCTTCCGCTTCAAGCTGTGGTGGATGACACAGAGAATGGGTTCTTGTGGACGGGAGGTTCCACATGAGACACAATTCATGCTCTTGGAAGGACCTTCAGAGAACTTCACTGTCTTGCTGCCAATCATAGATGGCGCATTTCGGGCTTGTCTTCTTGGCAATACTGAGAACTTTCTTCAATTGTGTGTTGAAAGTGGTGAGTATGACTTGAACGATAAATTCTTCTATATCTGTACATTACTTTTAAGTCAATGTAATGTGTTACCTTAGTCATCTTTTTCATGCCCTTCGTGTGTTCTCCATTCCTTGATTATGGATCTTGATCTCTAATACTTTTGGTTTGTTTGATTGAGCAGGAGACCCCGCTGTCACCACAAATTGTTCGTTAAATGCAATTTATGTGAATGTGGGTACTAACCCTTTTGAGGTTATCTCAGAGGCAGTAAGGTATTTAGTACAACTCTTCGTCTCGTAATTTGTACATTACATTCAGCAATTATTCCGGATTTCTATGGTCTGCAGGAGCTCTCGTCAGCCTAACGTATTTGGAAGCTGTAATTCATAGTTAACATCTTTTTTGTTTTAATTACTAGTGTAAATGATTGTTGTCCTTGTTTGTGTTGAAAGTGTATTCTTTAATTACAAGCTTTTGACTCACTCGAATCTTGAATTTATTCTTTTTATTTTTTTGTTCTTTAGAGCTGTGGAAGGACACTTGGAGACATTCGTTCATCGTGAAAATAAGCAGGTGTGTGCGTCTTTCACTTGGAATTTCCTCTTGGTCTTGTTCAGATTCGTCAGTTTCTTAGAATATGTAACCTATTCCTAAATTATCATGCCTTTTTCAACATTCAGAATTTGAGTGTTTGTGGTATAGATCAGAATTGCGGTGGTCTAAAACAGCGTAGAGCTTCGTGTATGAATAATTTATTGAAAGTACTGTAGGAGTAATACTGAAAATTCTTGCAATTATGAACTATGAACGATTCTTGACATGGTTCGATCGATGGCGGGTTCAGATGCCAGGAATTTTGGACTATTTTGGTTGGTGTACATGGGACGCTTTCTATACAGATGTTTCTGCGGAGGGCGTCAAGCAGGGATTGTCAAGGTTGATAATTTGTAGTTTTTTTAGGTCCATTAACCTGCTGTTTAGTGATGAATTATGACGAATGGCTGGCTGGATCAAAAGACGATTCAGTATATTTACATCTTTGGCAAATATATTGCCCAGTCTGGCAGGAGGTGGAACACCAGCTCGGTTTCTGATCATTGATGATGGCTGGCAATCCATTGCGGAGGACAACAGATCACCAGAAGAGGCTGCAGCTGTTACTCAAGGCCCCCAGTAAGTATATGTAACCTGGTCGCTTCTTTCTTTCCATCCACTCGCTCAGAAAATTGCATTTTGCTTTTCGTACTTCATGTTTCTCATTTACCATAAAATTGCGGAGTATTGATTTTATTCTATGCTTAATGATATGATTATTAGAGGCTTTCACTTCAGATAGGATTATTGTGACCTCTTTCATTGCTCCAAACCCACGATATTGTTTGCAGGTATGCAAGTAGGCTCACACATATCAGGGAAAATCACAAGTTTCAGAAGGATGGTGTACCAGGTTTGTGGCCTGAAGATCAAAGTCTAGGACTTCAACACACTGTTCTTGATGCAAAAACCAATTTCAATCTCAAGTAAGTGGATTTTGACCCGAAACTTACTAGTTAAACTATAGTGTAGCACATGCAACCAAGAGACAAGATTGGTGGTGTTGAGACTGCCGTAAATGTTTTTGCAGTGTCTACTGTGGAACAAAACGTCAATTCAGAAACAGTTAGCAACTATCAACGGTGATTATTTTTTGCTATTAGGTACGTGTACGTGTGGCATGCGCTGGCTGGATATTGGGGAGGAGTCCAACCTGGAGGATTGAATACCAAGAACTATAATTCAAGCCTTGTATATCCCGTACACTCCCCAGGCGTGTTGGATAATCAGCCTGATATGTCCGTTGACAGTCTCACTGTGAATGGCTTGGGCTTAGTTAACCCAAAGGAGTTTTTTACTTTCTATGATGAGCTTCACCGCTACCTAGCTGCCGCTGGTGTGGATGGTGTCAAGGTTGACGTACAAAATATTTTTGAGACGTTAAGTGCAGGACTTGGTGGCCGTGTGCAGCTCGTGCAGCAAGTTCATGAAGCTTTAGAGGCTTCTATAGCTCGCAATTTCCCAGAAAATGGGTGCATTAGCTGCATGAGCCATAGTACTGACAACCTTTACTAGTAAGCTTCCACCTGCGTCTATTCATATTTCGGTTAGCACAACATTTAAAGGTTCATCTACTTTATTGTATAAAGGAGTTCGTTGACTCAATTGCAGCTCTCTCATTCTCCCTCAATTGCACAAAGCCTCGATACGTTGATCAGATGACATCCATTGTAATAGTGATTGGGTGAGACCCAATAAATCCTTATGAACTATATTTCCTTTACCAAGATTGCGTTGGAAGCAGGGTAATCTGACGATGGACAATGTTGTGCCTTCTTTTGTGGCAGCTCAAAGCGAACCGCTGTAGTGCGAGCATCAGATGATTTTTGGCCAAGAGACCCAGCTTCTCATACTATTCATATTGCATCAGTTGCATATAACACCTTGTTTCTTTCAGAATTTATGCAGCCAGACTGGGACATGTTCCATGTAATCTTCTCATCCAAAGTTTGTTTCCTCGTTTTGAAAAAATTTCACCAATTCATTCCTTATTTCTAAGGTAAATGTAGGACAAGTCGATACTAGAAAAATACAAGGTCAGAAAAATTATGTCACTTGAAAGCTCCACCACTTTTTGAGCATGCATACAAAAGTCCGACATTGTTTTAGACACAATTTATGTATTGTGTGCCACTGACATTACTTTATGTTACTGGGAGCAGAGTCTGCACCCGGCAGCAGAGTACCATGCGGCTGCCCGTGCTATAGGAGGATGTGCAGTTTATGTTAGGTGAGCGACCGTTCTCAACTTATCATCGCATATTTGATCTGTGTTATTCATCTCGATGCAGAAATAGTCTAGTATTCCAGGACCGAATTATACATGGCTACATTAACCAGAATTATTAATGGATATGTGTGCAGCGACAAACCTGGAAACCACGACTTTGATCTATTAAAGAAACTGGTGTTGCCTGATGGAACGGTGTTGCGAGCTTTGCTTCCAGGCCGCCCCACTCGTGACTGTCTATTTTCTGATCCTTCTAGGGATGGTAAAAGGTGATCACAGGACTTCCGTTTTAATCCAAAATACTAAATATGTTTGACATATATTCATACAAAGTATCAATATCTAATCTAGTTTTGACGAAGGAAGCGGTTTTTTTTTTTATTTTGATTTATCACCTCCTGGAAGTGCTATTTCCTCAACACACTATTTAAAATACTCAAGTAACATGTACACTCGTGCAATCTTTTGTGTAGTTTGCTTAAGATTTGGAACATGAACAAGTGTGGAGGAGTAATAGGCATCTTCAACTGCCAAGGAGCAGGATGGTGTAAGTTGGACAAGAAGTATATGATCCATGATGTCGACCCGGATCCGATCTCAGGCAGTGTTCGTTCTGCTGATATTGAGCGTTTGGGTGACGCAGCACCAGATGGGTGGGATGGTGATTGCATCGTTCTTAGTCATCGAACTTGTGAGCTTATCAGGATTCCTCGCAACGCAGCATTGCCCATAACGTTACGGAAGTTGGAGTATGAGTTGTTCACAGTTACACCTGTGAAGGTTTGATTCCATCCCCAATTGTGCTTCTTATTTTAGTGCCTATATCTATTCCCTCACGCAGAAATCAGCTCCTTCCCACGTCATAGAAACTCCTGAAGTGCAGAACAGGGTGTCCAGAAAGACACTTTTCTGGTCCATAGATGTTTATATTGCTTTCACTGATTTTTCTGCAGCTACTCTTCTTGAAGTGGTTTCATTCGTTTAAATTGTTCAACCGTCCCTTCAGTTAATAATTAACTTGGCTATGCAGAATGTGGATGCCCAGCTGTGTTTTGCACCTCTGGGTTTGATCAAGATGTTCAACTCGGGGGGAGCATTAAGAGGACTTGAGTATGACACCCAAGGCAGAACTGTAACCATGCAAGTGCATGGATGCGGAACGTTGGGGGTCTATGCTTCACAAAGACCGCAAAGTTGTATCCTTGATGACTCCATAGACATCGCCATTAGCTACGATCGTAGCTCAGGTCTGATTTCGGTGTCTCTTCCTCAATCAGATGAAGGTCACTTGTGGTCCGTTCGTATGAGGTTTTAGGTTTTAGGAATCAAGCATTGGGTATGACTTGTGTTTTAGAAAATTCGTAATAATTTAAAACTACCAATGGTAATCCATCCTTTACCTACATCAAAATTTCCGTCGTTCTTTTGATTATTCTTCATTTTATTAAAATATATTCAAAAAAATTGTACCGAGTTTTTATTTCAGTAATGGCGTAAGAAACATAGAGTAGCTAAATTTTTACTTGATATTCTGTAACGTAATTCTTATAAAAAAATAAAATTCAACTTTCAACCATTAAAACTAAAAACCATGTTGTTCCAAGTCCCAACCCCTACTACATTATTAATACCCAAAATATTTTCACGAAACTATATCCCAAACCTGTCCAGGTAGAATAGTACGTTTTAAAACTAAAACAAATGAGCAAGTTTTCTCTGTTAAATTATTCTCCATACATTTATGAAATACGTCTCATTAATTATGTAAACGAAGTGTGTTTTCACTACTAAACATTTGAGCCTTCTATGAATTTTACTCGTAAGCATCTCACATTCTATTCTTTTACGCGCGTTTTCCAAGAAAAAACATAACAGTACAGTATGTGTGTGATACTAAAATTATGATTTATCAAAAAACATATAAGACATCGAAAACCATTCATCACACTACACACAGAATATTAATATATATAAGCAAACGAGTACAAACTTACACACTTCCCCGGTGAAAGAGTCTTTTCATGGATGGGATTCGCCTGGCAAAAGCACCTCTTCAATGATATCAGGAAAGCAATGGAAGTTCCGATTGCACAGACTTCCCGTGCTGGAGGGCGGGTCTACAGAACTCCACCGCCACCCTCCACGCGCCTGCCCAGTCGCGACTTCGTCGTGGAAATGTACCGACAAGGATTTCACAACGAAACTGCATGGAGATTGGCAGCTCTTCCCATCTCACAATCCCACCAAGTCTGCGACCTCTACCGCACACTCCTTCTCAACCCCCCTCGACCTCGTTCAATGCCTGCCGACACGTGATCTTCTCTCCATCTTCCTCGCTGCCAGTGCCTCTCACACTGGCTTGCAGACACAGCCTTGGTGTCCGCACAATCCATCTCCTGTTTCTCGCATTGTAGACTCGGAGGCTTCTGATTAGCGTTGCGCAGGCATGGAGCTCGTGTATAAGTTGGAGAGATTCCACGAGATGGATCATGTGTTGTTCTTGCGCCTTCTGTGCTCTGTTTGTGGGTCGAATCGGTGTGAAGCTATTCGTGTATCCTCACAGCAGGCTTGCTTTGCTTCTCAATTCGTGGGGGACAGCTTCTTAGCTTTCCACTGCCTCTGAGGAAACAGTTATTGGTCTCTGCTTCTCAAGCGTCAGGATGGGTGGCCAAGGTGATGGAGGACCGACGAACTGGGACCCAACCGGTACGTTGAATAATGGCTCTCAGCGTCCGCAACGGGGTGGGCCACATCGAGGGACGTGGTACCAGTCTCCGAGGACGTTTAGACATGTTTGGATGAGCCGTGGCATTACGAAGCGGCAAAGGGGAGTGTAGAGTGCACTACTGCATGTGAAGCGATCAACAGGATGACGGTTACAAAGAGATTCATTCATGTCGGAGAACCAGCGAGTTCTCATTCATGAGAAGAATGCGAGGATTCCTGGCAGCGGCCAAGATTGAGCGGGTTTAGACCCTGGGAGTTTTGCAGTTAGATAGATGAGAATGTTTTTCTCGAAGTTTCGCAACTAGTGAGATGAGAAAATCTTTAGGAATCTTGTAAATAGTGAGATGGGTTTCCTGTGCAGCACGTTTTTTGGCTTGAATATTCAATCCAGTCCCTCTTGAAGGGTATCCGTGAACTATTTCAACTCTTCGTTTTGGACGTGTGTCTTCCTGTCTTTGTTCAGTTTACTGGGGCACTCCAGTCGCAGTGTGGTGCATAATTGAGCGAACAGATGTTGGGTGACCTGCACATGATGAGTTGGAGGAAGCCTCCCACCGAAGACGCTTCGGAATTTGGTGGTCACTCTTTTTGACCTGGTATACGACAAAATAAATCGAATTCAAAACTGAGAAATGCGTGAAATGAATCTAATGCCGACACGTCCGAATGTGTTTGAGAGATCATGTGATGATGGGCAGAACAAGGGAAGAGACGAAGCACCACTTTAACAGGAGGACTTCAGAATGTGTTCAGACTCACCTGCATGTTTCCAACATGTTTCTGTTTAGGATATCAGGAAGTGGTCTGTTTAGGATATGAGGTAGAGAAAAGCAATTGTAATTGTAATGTGTTCCCAATATTTTGGAAAATGTTCTGGGGAGAAGTAACCATCTTATGAGTTTGCATGTTGCTCAAAGATTAAAAATTGGAGTATTTAAGTCCACTGTGCCACTCCACTTTAAGGTGAGATATTTAGACTTTGTAGATGTTGTATTAGCATTGCTTTGTATATAGGATCAACAATAATATCCAAAGAAAAGAGATGGTTGAACATGGAGATGCAAAAAGTTATGTCTTGATTATTAGTTGGAAAAGTGATCTTTATATATTTTCACTAAAGGTACCTATAATATTATAAGTATTTTGTAAGTTGTGTCATAGAGAGAAATGTTTTAGCTAAGCCAAGTAAATATAAAAAAAAAAAAAATTAACAAATAAATATTATCTATTACCAAGTTTGAGAAGTTTAAAGCCAAAGTTCAAAGCTTTGTATGGGTTGTACTCACCCAATAAGAGTATCTTGGATATGACAAGCTCTTAGTAATTACAAAAAAGATGTGTTTTTTTTAGAGGTGACATATGTTGGCTGCTTCTTAAATCCAAATACCAAGCTTCATATATTGGTGAAGATTCAATTACGGCTAAGAATGAATGTAATATGTTATTTGTGGTGAATATCTTAACATGTGATTTTACAAAGTTTTCCTAATTTTATTTCTTCTTACAATAGTTTAGTGATTTTTGACTAGAAATTCCATATAAATGGAAAATAATTGATAAAGAATAAGATTTGTTGGACTTGTGATAGTGTGTAGAATTAGAATAGTTTAAAAAATTAATTCAATATAAAGAAGGTTTGAGAAGCAATTTGGTCTAGAATTGTTTGGCTTAGTAAATTCTCTTTAACATAAAAGATACAAGTTTTAGAGGCATTAAATTTTATGATGATATATTTAAGAGTTAATTAATAAAAATAAGATTTGAGATTTTACCTTAAGTGGCAATAAAATTGCTCCAAGAATTAAACAAGGCATCAATGAGAAAATCAACTAGTTGAAGATTAGAAAAAATAAAATAAAAAATAAAAAATTCTTATTGTGTGGATTTTTATGATTCTAAAAAATAATAGCATTTTTAGATTTTGACAATGTTGTGTAGCTCAATTATTTTTGTAGCTTGTTCTAGCAAAAGCTATAAACTTGGCATGTTAAAGTTATAATCAACTTCAATACAAGTTTTAAAATGTTGAAAATAAACAATGAATGCATTATAAATATCATAGTTGATATTTTACAATTGCAATGGCAGTAAGCCATTTATATTAATTTGAGATAGGTAGTTGAAACTACCACTTGCAAAAATGGATGCATTATAAACACTATAGCTAATTTGTGACAATTGCAATGGTAAAAAGCCATTTGGTTTACTTTTAGATAGATGGTTGAAAAAACCATTTACAAAAACAAGTGTCTTGACCAATGAAGAAGTACTCATGATAATTAAGACTTTTTATATTGGCTTTAAAACCAAGTTTGAAGAAGACTCAAAATAAAAATTTAAAAACTTTTAAAAAACAATTGTGTTATATTCTTAATGTTATAAATGACTCTAACAATACATTGTTTACATACAAGAAGATTATCTATAGATGTATCTTTAAATTAGAAATATAATTCCAAGTCTTAATTACCTAAATAGATGCAAGCTAATTAGATGCAAGCTAATTAGATACTAGCTAATAATTTGACTAGATAAACTGATGTATTAACAAAAAAAATTTATCCATACTTGCTTCTTAAATAAGATGTGATTAATCTATAAATCATTATCTAAGACATACTATATATAGTTTAATTACCAATCATGTAGTATAATAAAAACAATGAAATGTTTCAATATTGGTTCCAAAATGAGACAAGAGTAATTTTCTTACAACACATTATATGTCCTATTTGGTAGGTGCTTAGTATATTAATTTGACTAGACTTTAAAGATTCTAGTCAACTATTATTTTCCTGAAACAATTTGGTTCAAATTATATATATATATATATATATATATATATATATATACTTTTTTTTAATAATATAAATTAGGCAAAAATTAATTCAATTTTTCTTTAGATTGCAATGTTTTAAAACAACATGCATAGATTAAAATTATTTTATTGTTAATTTTGAGTGTCTTAATAAAGATTTTCTACCTTTAAGTTAATTTTTCAATTTATAATTTAAATCATGTTAAAAAAACTATTAAATTGAATTCGGTTTTAAAATTTTGATAAAGCTTTTGTCATTGATATTTATAAAACAGGTTTTGAATTTGTGCTGAAATGTTTTATTTAGACATATGAGGTAGTTTGATATATTATCAAAAATACAAAATAAAATATATGATATTAAAAAAAACCTATATATATATATATATATATATATAAATGTATTTATATATATGTAAATTTATTTTTAAAAAATCTTAAAACATGATTTTAAGTAATTTATAGAATAAAATCAACATACATCTATTGCATTATTTGGTTTCCAAGTGGTATTTAAAATACAAACCAATGAGCTATCATTAAGAATCATTTATTTATTGTAGTTTTTTCAATATATATCTAATTTAGAATCACTAACATCATAATATCCAAGTCAATCATTTGCAATAAATTTAAGCTACTACGGTTATATTTGTATATATTTTTTGAATAACAAATAAACATTGGATATACAAAATACTAAAAAAATAATTGAAACTTTGGATAGCACTTAAAGATAAATATTTATAGTATTATATAATTAATAATATCTTGTGATTCTTTAATAGAGCCAAATCATATAAAAATTTATTTTAAAAAACCAATGTATGTGTGTATGTATGTTTGTATGTATTTATACATATATTTATGTACACACACACACTCACACACACATATATATATATATATATAGAGAGAGAGAGAGAGAGAGAGAGAGAGA